TGAGAGAGAATTCGGCTTTCTCCGGGATGAGTCCCTTCATTGGATCCACATCCATGAGGACAACACTAAACAGATTCAGCAGGCTGTATTCCTGTTTATTTGTTTATATGTGTATGTAACAGTGATTAAAGAAAAGGAGGCTGAGAATTTGGGAGAGAGGTTGGGAGGGGTGGACACTGGAGGGACATTAAGGGGGAAAGAGTGGAGAATGATGTAATTATATTTTTATTAAATTTTAAAAAACCACAACAAGGACTGGTGAGGGTGTCACAAGATGACTCACTGGGGAAAGGCACCGTCTGCCAAACCTACCACCTGAATTTAATTCCTTCGTTCCACACAGTGGAAGGAGAGAATCAACTCCACTAAGCTGTCCTCTGATCTTTATAGATGCACTGTGACACACACATGTGTGCACATTTAGATGACCATTAATAAATGTGAGAAAATGTCTGGTGACTGTGAGGAGAGAGGAGCCCTTGTTGACTGCTGGTGTCTTCATCTGGGTTTTGGTGTCAGGGTAATACTGCATCATACAATGAACTTGGAAACCTTTCTTCCTGCTATTTCGTGGAACAGTTTGGGTAATGTAAGTGTCAATTCTTGTCTAAGTTCTGGTAGACTTCTGCTGTGAATCCATCTGCTTCTGGGCATATTTTAGGTAGGAGACTTTTTTTTTAATACTGCTTCAATCTTCTTGCTGGTTATGAATCAGTTTAAGTACTTTTCTTCTCAGCTTAATTGTGCCACATCATATGCATTTAGAAATTCTTCCATTTATTTTAAATTTTCCCTTTTATTAGCACAGAGGTTTTAAAGTATGTGCTTAAGGTTTTCTGAATTTCATGATATTCTTTCTTGTATGGTTGAAAATCTGTTGTGATTCTCTCGTGTTTGCCTTTGTATTGTGACTTAATACTTCATTCATGCAACAGTGAATGTTTTCCTTGTTCTCTATGTTTAGTTCTTTAACTAATTGACATGGAAATTCTTTCTTAGTTTTGTCCATTTGGTGATCTTTGTGTCTCTTGAGTCCAGATTATCCTGTCTTTCTCTGAGTTTGGCAAACTTTTCTCCTATGATTCTATTGAATATATCATTTTGCCTTTAATGTATTCTTCTTTTTCTCGTGCCAAGATCTGTGAATTTGGCCTTTACCTGCTTAGCCCTCTCAAAGATCCAAACAGAACCTGGGTGTCCATGTTTTCTCTTTAACTGCTGCATCTGTCTTTTGGTGACATTCTATGACTCTTAGCCTCTGATAAGGAATAAACGTCACACAGCCAGGTCTATGTAGTAAGGCTCTGTCTCAAAAAAATACATAAAAATAAAAGTCAGAATTGTGCAGTTTCTCTAACTTGTATGGTAATATTGTGTTCCCCAAAATATGAGCACCCTAATAAATTTATCTGGGGATATCAGAGAGCAGAAAAGCCACTAGATATTTAGGTTAGGCAGTTTTAGCACATGCATTTGATCCTCACATATCACAGGCAGAAATCCATCTGTTCAAGGATACAGCCAAGCATGGTGATTCAAGCCTATAATCCCAGAAAGCGAGCCTTTAAACCCAGGGAGTGATGGTAGAAAGCAGAAAGGTATATAAGACGTGAGGACCAGAAACTAGAAGCATTTGGCTGGTTAAGCATTTGGCTGGTTAAGCTTTTTGGTTTTGAGCAGCACAGTTCAACTGAGAGCCATTCGGATATGAGGACTCAGAGGCTTCCAGTCTGAGGAGACATGATCAGCTGAGAAGTTGGCCAGATGAGGTTAGTAGCTGTGGCTTGTTCCGTCTCAATGATCTTCCAGTGAAACACAGTAATGGTTTCAGGTTTGATTTTATTAATAAGGCCTTTTAGGATTCCTGCTACAAACTTGTTAAATGTGCTATAGAACAAGAAAGCTTCTAGGACTACCTTCCACCACACATCCTGAGTTTCCCAAGCCAAGCCTGGCTCAGCCTGTCCCTTTAAGAATCCACATTAACCCTGCTACTTTGACCTCTTGCCTCATAGCATTGGCCACCCTCCACTGGGCTCATTCATTGAACTTCAAGGAGCCCAGATGCTGATGACCTGGGACTTTGAGTTTCAATGTCTTTTAAAATTTGACACACTGTTGGTTTTGGATTGCCTTTTGACTAATAAAATCTATCTTGACTCAGCTACCTCTTTGGTGAAATGCTGCCTGGCCAGTCTCCTCCAGAACATTAAGCACTCCCTTGACTCCATGACCTGCTCACTCCCACCTTATGGGCCCAGGAGCTGGGATTCTTAGGATCTGTGGGCATGTGCAATTTCTCTCTGTCCATGCAAATTCTACACAGTGCATCCTAACTCTAGCTGCCCTGGGGAATTGTGCTCCATGATGCACATTTACATCTCACACTATCAGTGTTAGGAGCTCAGCTTTCCCTCTGAGATAATGGACTCAAATACAAGTCAGTGAGCATGAGTTAGTGAGCAGTTGAGCCTTGAACTCAGAGTTTCAAGATCATCAAGTACAGTTTATGCAGCATAACACCCAGAGCCACTGAACTGATGCACAACAGTGTTAATCCTGTGCCAGACTGGTCATTCTTTATGTTTCATTCTGTAGAACAGGAGGTTGAAGCTCCACCCTCACACATGCTCTACCACTATCCTCTATCTCAAGTCCTCTTTTTCACCCTTGGCTTATTATTATTATTATTATTATTATTATTATTATTATTATTATTATTATTTTCTTGTGTGTGTGTGTGTCTCTGTGTATGTGTGATGACTGTGGATGTAGGTTCTCATGGAAGCAGAAGAGGGCACTGGATCTCCTGGAGATGGTGATATAGGTAGCTGTGAGCCTCCTGGGTGCTGGGATCCAACTCTCATTCTTCTAGAGCAGCAATCTCTCTGGCCCCATTTTAACGTTCCTTCCTTTTGTATTTATACTTTGGGGACAGGGTTTTACTCTGCACTCTTAGGTGGCCTGGAACTCCTTATACAGATCAGAATGGCCTTGAATCGACCCCTCCTGATTCTGTTTGCAATGGGCTGAGATTACAGGCATGTGTCACTGTTGGGCATCAGTTTTCTTCATCTGGAGAGACAGCTCAGTAGTTAAGAGCACTTGTTCTAGAAGAGA